ATTGCGTAGATTCTATGCACGAGTAGAACACAAAGTAGTTGTGGGCGTTGATTTTGTTCAATATGCTTACCGTTACTAGTCCAATCTTGATTCGGCGGCATTGTGGGATGAAGCGGCCCAGACCGACCTTACACGTACACTTACGTGAGACAGGTTCCACCGACTGACATGCACTTGTTGCATAAGGTGGCTAGCGGGTGCCAGTCTCTCCCACTTTAGTCGGATCGGATTCGATGAAAAGGGTCCTTATGAAGGGTAAATAGCAATTGGCATATCACGTTATGGTTTTGCGTAGGTAAGAAACGTTCTTGCTAGAAACCCATATCAGCCACGTAAAACATGCAAACAACAATTAGAGGACGTCTAACTTGTTTTTGCAGGGTATGCTATGTGATGTGATATGGACAAAAAGAATGTGATGAATGATATGTGCTGTATGAGATTGATCATGTTCTTGTAATAGGAATCACGACTTGCATGTCGATGAGTATGACAACCGGCAGGAGCCATAGGAGTTGTCTTAATTTATTGTATGACCTGTGTGTCATTGAACAACGGCATGTAATTACTTTACTTTATTGCTAACCGGTAGCCATAGTAGTAGAAGTAATAGTTGGCGAGACAACTTCATGGAGACACGATGATGGAGATCATGGTGTCATGCCGGTGACGTTGATGATCATGGAGCCCCGAAGATGGAGATCAAAAGGAGCAAAATGATATTGGCCATATCATGTCACTTTTTGATTACATGTGATGTTTATCATGTTTATGCATCTTATTTGCTTAGAACGATGGTAGATTCCTTTCTTTGTAACCTGGGTAAACATTGCATGGAAGGCAAGCTTGGCGATTCAGATATGTAGATTCCTTTCTCTGTAACCGACCTCGCGTAACCCTAGCCCTCTCTGGTGTCTATATAAACCAGAGGGTTTAGTCTGTAGGACAACAACAATCATAATCATAGGCTAGCTTCTAAGGTTTAGCCACTACGATCTCGTGGTAGATCAACTCTTGTAATACTCATATTCATCAAGATCGATCAAGTAGGAAGTAGGGTATTACCTCCATAGAGAGGGCCCGAACCTGGGTAAACATTGTCTCCCCCGCCTCCTGTTACCATTAGCTTTAGACGCCCAGTTTGGGACCCCCCACCCGAGATCCACTGGTTTTGACACCGACAGATACCGTATGCCAACATACACAAAGAGGCTGTCACCTTCTGAAAGGTGCTATGCCCGAGCTCTCTGGCGGCATTCCTCCTTTGCTAAAAAAACCGGTCATGGCTTGCTAGTTTCTCTGCAATGCGCCTGAACAACTCGGTGCTCATCCTAAACCGGCGCCGGAAGTACGACTCGGAGTACACGGGATTATCCGCAAAATAGTGCATGACCAATCTGTTGTGGGCATTGTCGGTGTCAAAACCGTCGGATCTCGGGTAGGGGGTCCCGAACTGTGCGTCTAAGGTCGATGGTAATAGGAGGCGGGGGACACCATGTTTACCCAGGTTCGGGCCCTCTCTATGGAGGTAATACCCTACTTCCTGCTTGATTGATCTTGATGATATGAGTATTACAAGAGTTGATCTACCACAAGATCGTAATGGCTAAACCCTAGAAGTCTAGCCTATGAGGATTATGATTGTGTATAGGTATGCCTCTATGGACTAAGCCCTCCGGTTTATATAGACATCGGAGGGGACTAGGGTTGTACAAAGTCGGTTACAGAGAAAAGAATCTTCATATCGATTGCCAAGCCTGCCTTCCACGCCAAGGAGAGTCCCATCCGGACACGGGACGAAGTCTTCTGTCTTGTATCTTCATAGCCCAACAGTCCGGCTCACATCAATAGTCCGGTTATCCGAGGACCCCATAATCCGTGACTCCCTCAGTAGCCCCGAACCAGCCTTCAATGACGAGGTGTCCGGCGCGCAGATTGTCTTCAGCATTGGAAGGCGGGTTTCTCCTCCGGTTTCTTCAAAGTACCTGATTAAGAGAGCAGTATTCGGCTTCCCATTTAATGTCACGCTCATAGGCTTCCACACCTTCGCGTCTTCAGCTTCCACGTGTCAAGCGAATATGAAAGGTCAGGTCATTTTTGCACTTATCACCCATCCATGTAAGAAAGGCATCTATTCAAAGAGATTGGGATTCTCAGATCCATTCCGCACTAAGCGAGGGATCCTCAGAATCTGCTAGGAGAAACCATTCCACCATGACCAGCGCTCCCAGCTCTTCCTCCCGCTCCGATGGCCCCGAAAAAGGCAATTGGGAGAGATGCTCCATATCCCATAGTCAACTAGTGGAACTGCAGAAACAGGGATTTCTTCCCCCTGCAAATCTTGCCCCCATTAGAGCAGAATTGATTCCCTTCAACAACGGGGCTCAAGCGGAGAACTTCCCCAATCCATCCAAGGGGGAACGAGTGTGCTTTGTCCCCTACTTGTTGAGAGGCGTGGGATTTCCAATCCACCCATTCCTTCGAGGTCTTCTGGAGTACTACAGCCTACAACTGCACAGTTTTACTCCTGCCTCCATCCTGCACATTGCGGGTTATGTCGCCCTCTGTGAGCTGTTTCTGGGTTGTGAGTCCCATTTTGAATTATGGAGGAAGCTTTTCTGCCTCGTCCCTCGTAACCAAAAGGGATCGATATTTGAAGTAGGCGGAGCCGAAGTGTGGCACGTTGTTGGGACCGGATACCTGTCCGGCACGCCAAAGAAGGCATCCAAAGATTGGCCTTTCGAATGGTTTTATATTGAGGACATCGCCCTTCCTGACCCAGTCTGAATGGGTATTCCTGAATTTTCAAGAGCTACATTGAAGAAACGCCACAGTTGGCGCCCTTGGAGCCTCAGGGAGGAAGATAGTGTAGAAGTCCGTCAATTGATGAGAAAGATAGAGACGCTCGCCCGGTTTGGATTATCAATAGTCGAGGTAATGGCGACTTCCATAGCGCGAGGGGTTCAGCCGCTTCAATACAGACGGTTTCCCATGTGGCACTGTAATGGGGAAGATGACGCCTCCCGCTGCAGTCGGAAGGGTCCGAACACCCTTGCCGCTTTGACCAAAATACTGGCCGAACTATGCAAAGGGGAGAAAGAGGAATTCGCTTGTATTAAGCGTCGGGATGGATTCTCCATGTACAATCCTCCTAGCCGGGTAAGTTTTAATCCCACTACCCTTCTTATTCTGCTCCCAGAGTTGCTTTCCATAGACATTAACTCGCCCATTTCTAACAGGAATGGCGAAAAATCACCAAGGAGCTCAAGAGCCCTGCACCACAACCAGAAGACCACAATCGGGACCTCGACCCCGGATTCAAAGAGGATCCGGATATATTTGTGGAGCTTGAAGACGGGGTGTTTTACTAGGCAAGCCATGATGGCACAACTGAGGGAGTCCCGGATTATGGGGTCCTCGGATAGCCGGACTATTGATGTGAGATGGGCTGTTAGGCTATGAAGATACAAGACAGAAGACTTCGTCCCATGTCCGGATGGGACTCTCCTTGGCGTGGAAGGCAAGCTTGGCGATCGATATGAAGATTCCTTTCTCTGTAACCAACTTTGTACAACCCTAGTCCCCTCCAGTGTCTATATAAACCAGAGGGCTTAGTCCGTAGAGGCATACCTATACACAATCGTAGTCCTCATAGGCTAGACTTCTAGAGTTTAGCCATTACGATCTTGTGGTAGATCAACTCTTGTAATACTCATATCATCAAGATCAATTAAGCAGGAAGTAGGGTATTACCTCCATAGAGAGGGCTCGAACCTGGGTAAACATCGTGTCCCCCACCTCCTGTTACCATCGACCTTAGACGCACAGTTCGGGACCCCCTACCCGAGATCCACCGGTTTTGACACCGACAGGCATCGATCCTATCCCTCCAAATTTTCTGCCGACCCATACCCGAACCACCGTGGTTCGGTTTTTTTATTGATGTGCATAGCTAGGATCATTGCAAGATCCTCCTCCTCTTTCATATCAAATTCTTCTTGAAAGAATCATATGATGAACTCATCTACAATGTTCAATTTAAACTAGGGTATAAAAACTACAAACAACATGCATCAGGTTCATGTAAAAATTGCGAAGTTGAAGCAATACATACCTTGCGGGCGTTTTGTTGAATATCTTGCGGGCGCCGAGCGGCAGTGGTCGGCCGGGCGCTGTTCGTCAGTGGACTGTCGCACGCGAGGGGCGGCGGTGACTAGAGGGAGACGGAAGAAGCAGCGGCAGCGCGGGGATAGGCCGGGAAGCGCCGGAACGGTCGCCGGAAGAAATAGAGTGGCGCGGGCGGCGGTGGCGCCAGCGGCTGGATGGAGTAGGTGAAGTTGCGAGCGGGCGCTCGAGTGTCCAGAGCACGGGAGCGGGCGCAGCAAATAAACGGCGCGCGATGGCATTTTGCCCGCGCGCTGAACTAGTTATGCCGCGCGCTCGTTTTTTGCGCCTTTATTGAAGTGCCCGAAGTGGTAGCGCGTGCAAAAAGAATTAATTTTTCAGCCGGCGCTTATTTAGCACGTCTGTTGGAGATCTCTAAATGTGAGGTCCGATTGATCAAACATTTTTGACCGGGCGGATGTTGAGGAGTTTACGGAGGAAATAGGGTCCGGCAGATGCTGAGAAAGGATATTCTCCGGCATCCAGATTCGCATCGGCACAAACATCCAGATTCGAATCGGACGGTGAAACCGTACTACTACCGCCGTTCGGCACGAACAGCTTTAACCTCGCGCGCGCCACGTATGCACCCGGTCCAGAGGACCACGGGGAACGACAGGTAGGGCCGGTGCACGCGTTGGCACTGGACCCGCGCCACGCCCCCCTCGCCTCAGCCCGGCATCGTCTTCTCCTCCCAGCCCCTCCCCCCCATCCTCGTCGCATCTGTGCTCGCGAAGCCGCCGCGCGCGCGTACAAATACCCGGCGGAGGAAACGGCGAGGGGCCACCAAACCCTAAAAACCCGCGCCTCCGTCTCCGCCACGCGCCTGCCTCACCATGGCGGCCGTACAGCGCCTGCTCCGCGCCGCGGCGTCGTCCTCCTCCTCCTCCTCCGCCGCCGCGGCGGGCAGGAGGCGCATGGCGACGTCGCTGGCGCCCGAGCAGACGCCCGCGGGGGCGCCGGCCTTCCCGTTCGCCGGGGCGGAGAGGAGGCGCCGGCCGGCGCACGAGAGGAACGTGCAGTGGGTCTTCCTCGGCTGCCCCGGCGTCGGCAAGGGCACCTACGCCAGCCGCCTCTCCCGCCTCCTCGGCGTGCCCCACATCGCCACCGGCGACCTCGTCCGCGACGAGCTCGCCTCCACCGGCCCGGACGCCGTGCAGGTGACTGCCCCTCCCCCCATTTCCCTCTCCGCTGGTTTCCAGATCCCGATCTGGATCTCTGGATCGGGATTCGCGGCTTGTTTCTGCTATGTTTTATATATCACAGATCAGTAGAGATGTGCCTAATTGTGGTGTGGTGGCCTTGCTCTAAGTGATTCACGATTATTATTTTAGCTGTGAAGTAGGACCCGAATGGTTTTCATTTAGATCTAGAGGTAAATATTATTGCCTCCGTTTCAAATTACTTGTCTTAGATTTTTGTAGATACGGATGTACGTAACACCTTATCTAGGCAACTCTAAGACAAGTAATTCGGGAAGGGGGGAGTATGATTTTGTACTGAACATTCAGACTTAATCGTCAGGATCTTGTCGGGGACTGCTTGAACTTGAGTTGGACACGATATGCCATTTGAACTCAGCGCATGCTATTGCGATCCATTTCGCCTACATTGCAGACCTGAGATCGTAATTTGGTGGAACTTTTGCATCTTCTATAGATGTAGATGGATAACGAAAATGCCAAGCAAAAGTAGAGTAATATTGTTTTTGAATTATAGGATGGTGTTTCAGGGATGATTCTGCCTTTGGCTATTTTATTCCAGTTGGAAAAGTATAGCAGCCTATTCACTGAAAAAACGTTCTGATACTTCCAATTTGGATAGCATAGCAGGCTATTCACTAGGACTTTTTCTAATACGTCCAATCCTGAATAGACAGGAAGAGTAAAACATATACTTATCCTATTGTTTGCCCCAGAGTCTATTGCTAAGGTGGTTACAGACCATGAATGCATCATTCTTATTTAATCTATGGCAATAATTCATGCACTGGAAGGCCCTTTTTTATGTGTCTTCACATGGAAGCTGCATGATCGTGCTATATTAGCTTTGCTCTTTATCTGACTATCCTTTTGTTTTCCTTTGGAAATGACATGGTTGGTTTTTTGTTTGCAGCTTAAGGAAATTGTTAATCAAGGAAAGCTGGTTTCTGATGAAATTATCATCAATCTTTTATCTAAACGGCTTAAGAAAGGAGAAGAGAAGGGCGAATCAGGATTTATTCTTGATGGTTTTCCACGCACTGTAAATCAAGCGGTGAGGGATTTTTTACATATCACGAGTCATTTCTGCCTTGTTTATTCCTTCTGCCTGGTAGGGAGAACTTGGTGATTGGATTCCATCTATTTTAATTAGTTGTTTTCCTGCCGGCTTGATATACAGAAGTGCAATGCAATATATCTAAAAATCTTTATTTAGAGGTGTGATTGCATGAGTACTTTCTGCTTAGCTTGCTGATATATAACGCTTTGATTAACTGGCTGTCTCAAGCAAAAGCTGCAATCAGATAATCTTTGATGGTTGTTTACTTAATCATGATGGTCCAAACTAATAATGTTTTCTGCCATATGCCTTGCTTAGGAAATTCTTGATGGAGTTACAGACATTGATATGGTGGTTAATCTGAAGTTGAGAGAAGATATTATAGTACAGAAGTGCCTTGGTAGACGTATTTGTGGCCAATGTGGTAAGAACTTCAATTTGGCCTGCATTGATGTCAAGGCCGAAAATGGGCTACCACCGATCTACATGTCACCATTGTTACCCCCCAATAACTGCATGTCGAAGCTTCTTACTCGAGATGATGACACTGAAGAGGTTGTTAGAAATCGCCTACGGATCTACAACCAAATGGTATTGCACTCTCTGCTTTTCCACTGTCGCTACATAATTCCTTGCTGTTTACTCCAGCTAGTTAAATTTAGTTCCTGAAGCATACGGTTCTTGCACTCTGTTAATGTGCCAAGCAGCACCAGTAGCGCTACATTGTTGCATACTTATGGAACTGTATTCACAAGTAGCATTTTGTCTTTTCAGAGTCAACCTGTGGAGGATTTCTACCAGAAGCAGGGGAAGGTTCTCGAGTTCGATTTACCTGGAGGAATCCCTGAATCTTGGCCAAAGCTGCTCGATGTTCTGAATCTCGAGGACCAGCAGGAGATGAAGTTGGCCGCGGCGTAAGTCCTGCCCGTGGGACATACCTTACATAGTCCAAAGCATACCATACATTTTTTCAATAATGGAAAAGGGATAAAAAACTCTTGTTTCCATAGATATGTGTGCCTTTGTGAGCGTAATTTTTTGACCACTAGCGAGCTGTTTATTCCCGCCGGCGTTTTCGCGAGCCGGTGCTATGTAACGATCATAACGATATTTTGATCTTGACTTTTTTGAGTGAGCGGTTTGTGGTGCGTAAGGACACCATGTAATGTTGATTCAAAGATGAAGAGTGATAGACCGTCGTCTGTGCTTTTTACATTCCGATTCTGATGATAAGCTTGTCGCGTTGGGAGATTAGGTCAGCGGAGCATGTTATACTAGTTAACCCTGTGAATAGTTTCACATCCAGACCAAAGCCAGAGCAGCCCATATGACTACACACACAGGATCCAAACCAAATCCAAAAGAATTCAGCTAGAACCCAAACCAAACCAAACTGTAGTTTTTTCAACCCAATCCAATCCAAACCATTCCTCAATTTCGGATTGAATCCACAAACTCAAACCATGGACAAATTGGTACATCTTCTAAACTGCGCTAGTACAGCTTGTATGCAATTTTGTACAGGCTAATCTCAAATTTTATACGTGGAGTAATGAGAGGGAGGTGCCTACACTTACAAAGATTGATAGGGCGTTTGTCTCAATAGATTGGGAACTTGATCATCCCGACAGCCTATTGCAAGCGCTGTCGACGGCCTCGTCTGACCATTGCCCTCTATATCTATCCTTGGAGGAGCGCATGGAATCGAAGAGAAGGTTTCGGTTCGAATTATTCTGGACAAAACTGGAGGGATTTCTGGAGGTGGTCCAACAGGCATGGACTTGTGAACCTACGATTGTGGACCCGTACCATAGGTTGGACGTCCTCTTGAGAAACACGGCTCGTGCGCTAACCTCGTGGGGCCAAAGGAAAGTGGGAAATATCAAGCTACAACTTGGGGTGGCCAAGTTGGTCATTCTCAAATTGGACTCTGCGCAGGATGTGGGGTTGCTTTCTCCGGGCGAGAGGTGGCTGCGAGGCATGCTCAAACAACTGGTTCTTGGTCTCGCCTCGCTTGAAAGGACTATTGCCCGTCAGAGATCAAGGATACGTTGGCTCGCAGATGGGGATGCCAACACCAAGTTGTTCCACTTAGTAGCCAATGGTAGGAAGACGAAGAACTTCATTCCGCCATTGTTGTTGATGGCCAGGTCATCACGGACCAAAGAGAAAAGGAGGAGGCCTTTCTCCAAGCTTACAGAGCTATGCTGGCTGAAAGCACAACTAGAGACCACACGTTAGATTTGGAGGCGCTCAACTTACGGCAAGTTGATCTAGCTGAGCTGGATCGCCCTTTCACGGAGGAGGAAGTTTGGGCGGTTATCAAGGATATGCCTAAGGATCGTGCCCCGGGACTGGATGGATTCATTGGAGTGTTCTTCCATATGGCTTGGGATATTATCAAAGATGATGTGATGGCGGTGCTACACAAGTTAGTCCTTAATAATGGCCATGGCTTTGGTCGGCTTAATCAGGCTCTAATCACTCTCATTCCAAAGAACCCGGAAGCATGTCGTGCTAATGACTTCAGACCTATCAGCTTGGTGCATTGCTTTCCTAAGTTGGCCTCAAAGTTGATGGCTAGCAGGGTGTGCCCGCGGATGGGAGAGCTGGTGAGCATTAACCGGTCTGCTTTCGTTCGTGGTAGGAACCTCCATGACAACTTTCTGCTTGTCAGGCACATGGCAAGAAGATTGCACCAAAGGAAAGCTAAGGGTGTTTTACTCAAGTTGGATATCGCTCGAGCTTTTGATTCCGTATCTTGGCCTTTGAGGTGCTTCGTGCTAAGGGCTTCCCGGAGAGATGGCTTGATTGGTTGGCAACCATGCTCACTACTGCCAGCTTGAGGATCGTGGTGAATGGGTGTCTGACGGACAAATTCAGGCATGCTTGTGGCCTTAGACAGGGAGACTCGATCTCTCCGCCGCTTTTCGTTATTGCTATGGAGACCCTCACGGAGATCATAATCAAGGCGCATGAGCTCAGAGTTTTGGAGAACTTGAATGGTTGCAAGCCCTTGCAAAGGTTATCACTATATGCAGATGACGTGGTACTCTTCATTAGACCTTCTCGGAAAGATATTGCTTTTGTCAAGGAAGTACTCATGATCTTTGGAAAGGCCTCAGGATTGCAAGTTAACTTTTCCAAGTCTTCAGCAATTCTGATCCGGGGAGAGGAGCAGGACGAGGAGGTGGTCAGAAGCGTGCTACAGTGGAAGATTGACCACTTCTCGTGTAAATATCTGGGTCTACAGCTTGGGATCAAACAATTGACTCGTTTTGAATGGCAATGCATGGTGGATGGAGCACTCAAAATCTTGCCAGGATGGCAAAGAGGCCTGGTTACACGTCCAGGAAGGCTGATTCTTGTGCAACAAGTGATGAGGGCGCGTCCCACGCATCACCTAATTGTGGCGGAGGCACCGAAGTGGGCGATCGAGAAAGTGGATCAGGGCTGTCGTGCGTTCTTTTGGGCTGGTTCTGATGCCGTCAGTGGCGGGAAGTGCGCAGTATCTTGGCGGAGAGTGTGTCGCCCTAAACAGCTGGGTGGTTTGGGCATTTTGGACCTCAGTAAACACGGTCTTGCCCTTCGGTTGAGATGGGAATGGCTACGCAGGCTGGACGATAGCAGGCCATGGCAAGGATTGAATCTCACAACTGATAAACAGGTCCAGCACACGTTCAATAGCCTGGTGAAGTGGGAGATCGGAGACAGCACGAGAATTCTATTTTGGAAGGACAGATGGGTGCAAGGTTACACGATCACTGAGATGGCCCCTGGCCTGGTAGCTAAGGTCAAGACGAGGACTGTCAATTCATGGCTAGTCAGCGAGGGGCTACACCAGCATGCGTGGCTCAAGGACTTGCCGGAGAATCTATCGACAGAGGAGCTGATGCAGTTTATACATCTTTGGGACGCACTTATGCACATAGATATTTCTCCTGGCAGTGGAGACAAGGCGATCTGGGCATGGCATGAGTCTGGTAGCTATTCTACGGCGTCGGCTTATCGGATGCTCTGCTCCGGTGGTATCAGTTTTGCACCTGCCGCCGCCATTTGGAAAAACGGAGCCCCCCTAACCTATAAGATTTTCATGTGGCTAGCTATCCAAAACCGCATCTGGTCGAACCGGAGACTCAGGCATGGTTTGCAGGACACGGCCTCCACGTGCTTTCTTTGCGACCAGGAGGAGGACAATGTAGATCACCTCATGATTCAGTGTGCCTTCGCGCGACAGGTCTGGTACCAATGCTTTGCCAAAGTTGGCATCGATACCAACCTGAGCCCTGTGCATCATGATTTGCTATAACAATGGTGGATGAATGCGCGCAAGCAGGTGAGTTCCGCGGACAAGAAGGGCTTCGACGCGTTTGTCATATTGATCTGCCGGACGTTATGGAAGCAAAGGAATGCTAGGGTGTTTTAATCCGGTACTATTTGCGATGAGTTTGCGATGGTGAATCTAATCTTCCAGGAGATACATCTCTGGAAGTTAGCGGGAGTGGTAGGAGTCCAACGTTTTTGTGAGTAGTCCGCCTAAGGTAGGGGACTGGTTGGGTGGGATCGTCGGTTTGTGACGATCTACCATACAATCTCTTGTACATATTTTTCTCTCTTCTATACAGCTAAGGTACGCCATTGGCGTACTCTAGAAAAAAAATCTCAAATTTCTGAATAAATGGGAAGAACATCGTTTGGAGGGAGGGAGGAGGACGAAGGTGGGATGGAGCATCCGGGGAACGGGGAGGAAGTGGTAGCTACGATTCCGGCCGACGCACCGGCAGCGAGGTGGCGACAGCTTCTATTCGGAGCGGCGCACTGGCGGGGAGACGACAACAGCTATGAGCAGGCGTGCATGGCGATGGAGAAGTCCGGAGGCGCTGCGACAACAGCGGATGGGTGGGGGAAGCTGCGGTCGGAACTACAGCTGCCGCCGGTGGCCAGCGATCCCTAACCCAAGCTGGAAGCGCGAAGTATTGGCAGGTGTCTCGTGTTGAGGTAGAAATTGGTGGCTCGACCGGTTTTCCTAGGTAGACTGAAACCAGTCTGAGACCGATTTGTCTCAGTCCAGACCAAACCAAACCAATCTACTAATTACTAAAGCCCAGGCCAAACCAAACTGCAACAGCGGCTCAGCCCATTACAACCAAACTAAAGCAGCCCAATTGAAAAACCAAATTAGAACTATGGTTTGAGATCAAACTATTCCCAAGTTTTATACTAGTTCCTGTTTTGAGTTTCATTCAATTCAAATGACACATGTTCGATCAACTCAGAAAAAAGACACATATTCGACCTCTGAAGAAAGATTACTATGCGTAGCGCATGGTTACATACCCTCAGCCCATACTCCGCCCATCTTTGCGGTTTGTTCTGGTTCGGCTGTCGCTGTGTGCCAGCTGCTGTCGCCCCAGACCTTCATCTTTCCTGCCGTTTCCTGTCCTAAAACGAGATGAGCAGCATAGCCTCATAGGTTTGGACCTGAAGCGAAATTATCAAAGCATCATCTCTCTCTCCCCTTCTTTATTTCCGAAAAAAGCGTCGCAGCCTCATTCATGGCGACTACAGCCTTCGTCCACCCCCTTGCCGAGCGCCTTTGGCATGATCCATGCTATTCCTCCAAGCCGGCATGCCCCCCTGTCGGATCTCGTCTGCCGGCCATCATGGAGTCGCGGCCTTTCTTTCCCATCAGCATGGGGGCGATCCCTTTCCCGTTGCTCACCTGTTTCTCCTCCGGCGAGAAGGCCGCCGCCTCCCACGCCACCTTCTCAACAAACCTCTCCTCCTGCTCCGCTGCTTCCTATGCCACCGGCGTAGACGAGAAAAGCTATGATCAGAGACGACGATGTTGCAACCGGCAACGAGAAAAGCTACGACCAGAGAAGACGATGTTGCAACCAGCGATGAGAAAAGCTATG